GGTTGATGAAGCTGACCAGGCGACTACCAGAGTGGCTTATCACGTAGAAGTACAAGGAGGCGAAACTACAGTGCTACCTGATGTAGAAATCTATAATGCAGATGAAGAGAAAATACACTCTGAAGAGTCAAAGCATTTCTCACAAATTGTACATGCAAACCCAAGTGATGATGATAAAACAGAACCCGAAATTGAGGAAAAAAGAATATATTCATTCTGATTCTCCACCTCCATGAAAACAGAAGATTCTACAAGATATTATCAAAATTCGGAACAGAAATCACCTGCTGACTATTTAAGAGCTCAAGTGTAAGTACTTTATTATATTGTTTGATATTTCTTTTTAATTTCCTTTTTGGATATTTCAAATTAAAAATATGTATCCAAAATATAATGTTTTTTGAAATTATAATACATAAGATTTTTATTAATGAATCATTATCAAAATGCTTCCAGTTTAAGGCTTCAGTTACCATTTAAAACTTTCTCTTATTTCAGGTACAGTGAAAAACAACTTTATATCATTGTGATAGTGATACTGGCAGTGTGTGTTGCACATTATTTTTCTGCACGCTAGGCCTGAGTGTGAAGATACTGTTTCTGAGGAGAACAGACATGCCAAAAGGAGAATTACCAACTACAATACCAACCAAAGGTATCAATCAGCAGAACTTGCAAGACTTTCCCTGTGTGTCAGAATAGATCTCAGCATATGAAAGCATAGCAGTTTAGTTGGATGCTGTTTTTGTTTATTATTATTTTTAGTATATTTCTTATCAAATTAGTATGTGTATTGATATATTAGCATTTTTTTTATTATTATATTAATATTATTATTATGTTGGTATTTTTATTTTATTAATATCATCATATTAATATCTCATTATTATATTAGTACTTAATGGAAGTAATAAGGTCCTGAATTCTCCACAGGAACCCCAGCAAAGAAACCTCGTCAACCAAAGAGGTTTGGGCCCCCTAAAAAGGCTGGTTTTACAGCAGTCTCAACTTGCTCAAGACAGGCTGATGACGGCGTTCACATCAACATTGAAGACTGCTGTCAGATGACGCTGTGTGAAACGGTAAGAGAGAATTATTTGTTTAGCAAGAACTTTGTAGCTATTTATAGTTTTATTTAATTTTGACATGTACTCTTTTCTTCTTTCCTTTTCACAAAGTTTATTTAACAATTTGTAGCTTTCTTAGCATTTATGTATTTCACAGTCTGGATTGTATATTGAATTTGATTGTAAGATCTGTGATAAAATGTAAATTGTAGTTGTAAAAGAAAAAAAAAAAAGTGAATGAATGATACATCAATATATACAGTATTGTTCTCTTTATTTGTTACTCATCTTGATATTGCTGAATTACATTGTTACAAATTTTATTTTGTAGATTTCTCTATATATGTTACATAGGTCACTTGCATGCAGTAAAATAAAAAAGTTCTTTATAAATATTTCTCCCACAGCCATGTTATACAACTGTCAAGAAAGAAGGAAGAGGTTATACAGCAGCTAAAGAAGACAAGAAGAGTTTGCTTGATAATTACAACTTCTGATATGTGGCTAAGAATACCTTATGTAAGCGCCTTGTCAATTAAAATAGAGGACTGCAGGCGACCAAACATGAAACACGACAAGAGTGGGTATTGGTATTTTTACACATCAAGTCCATATTATTAGCTCATTCCTCCATTCAGGTTTAATTGTATCAGTGGAAACATTTCCGAAGAGTGCAATATAATGGGAGTGTGGTAATACTGTCAGAGGTAGGTGAATCTTTTAAAGCTTAAATTCATTCAAGTTATTCATTATTGGTCATGTAAGCAATATTTCTTTTCTTGTGGACAGAAAAAACAAACAATGGCCTTTACCATTATGAGAAACTGCAAATTAATGACTTGTTAATGGGAAGTGTTCAGCCCCGTCCTAATTTGCTTGTCATTAATGCCATTGTCTAGAGAATTATATTATTATCAAGCTGTAAATTGGACTCAGTCATGAGATGTATTATATACTCACTCTGTAAATATACTGTTACAAGTGGTCTAAGACATATTGTATATTAGAAGAGGGTCTATCATATCAGATAGGCATTATCACATTCACATATTTATGCATGCCCAAGCACAAGCACAGGTACTGGTGTATGACATGCACGCACACACCAGCAAACACAGATCCATTTAAACACCCACAAGACACACCCCCACCATGCCACTCAAACAAACACAGGAAGGACACATATCAACATGTGTGCTTTGATTTTTCCCGTCTTGTTAAAAGTCAATATTCTAATGGCCTTCTCTCCCCTTGTATATTTCTATATCTCTCATATATACTTGTCCCTCGTCCGTTGGGCCCCCATCTGCTCCTCTGTCTCATCTCCCAGTCCATCGCTAATATACTGGCCCCTCCTCTCCTATATACTCTGTTTGTGCCCTCTTTCTTCTCTCTTATCTCCTTCGCTAATTCTTCCTCTCTCACCTCTCATG